TCAACTTTTCTATCGTCAACTTCCCTTATTTTTGTAGCAATCAATCATTATCACCTGCATATTAAATTTACGTCTCCCAGTTGATTCGATACACAAGAGCATGCTCTACATACGAATATCTTCTAAAACGAGGCAAGCTATTGACAAATAAGTTGATGAAACAAGAATCTCAACAGTCTCGTTTAAAGCCAACATTTTGCAAATTCTATGGTCGATACAATCACCTTGTCAGCTATCATTATCTTTAAGTCGAATGTTGACTGACGTTTTTCATACAAATCGTAAGACAATTTTTTCACACTTAACTGTCTGTGGATTTTTTCCGTTTGCCTGATCATGACAAGGAACGAAGAGCAGATGTGACCAGTCGAATGGGGATGCTTACTCCTCTATGGAACCTGATCCCACCTCTGATGTTTTTAAAGGTCCATGTTTGTTCTGCTCCAAATTTGTATTGTTTCAATGGAATGTGGACCTTGATTACTGTTCATTTCTTCATATTTCACTCTATTTTATATTACAATGAATAAATGCTAATTTATCAAACCAGTTGGTGTTTTATGAAACATGTTTGAATTCATTTAGAATCTAGTTTCAGCAAAGTGGCCAGGTTTATGCTAAATTTTGCCATCCAATTTTTTAGAAGTACGCATAGTTCATAACTGACCATTCAAACCAGTCATTCAGAATTTATCTAAAAGTTATTAATACCCAGAGTGACTGGTACCCTCATCAAAACAGTGGCACGGAAGTAATTCTCGTGTGTACATTTATATTGTAGTTGCACATCGTTATTGAATAATTTCGAAAGTACAAAGCAAACATTTAAAACACTCATTAAAAATATTATATTTTAAATTTATTACAAATAGTAAATATTTTAACGTTTTACAAATGGGTATGGTGTAAGGTTGGTACAGACTTAGGTTACACAAGAGAATAAAGAACCATGCATACTTCGTAGCTCTTACTCCACACATGCTTCCAGCTAAGGTGAGCGTAATAAACATTTGGACTCCGACGACTAACCTTATTACCTTAATGACGGACAAACAAATGATTCATATGTACACACTTCTATTGGGGCTTTTATACAAGAACTACGCAAAAACATGTAAATAATAGCTCTGATTTATAATGAGACTATGGTGAAATAATTGTGACTTTGAAAGTCTCGCGACATTTCGACATGTCAAAGCCCCGGGGTAAGGCACCTCGCTTTTTTGCTACAGACAGACATTGTGGTCTGTTTGATGAGTTTCATCACCAGCATATCATCCATATTTCAAGTACAGTATCTCTCTAGGTTATGATTATTTTTCATATCTTTTAAGCTATTAAAAGAACTATTAATTGAAAAAAAATATCATAAGAATAGAAATATAATACAGAGAATAATACATAGTAAAATCTGTACCACATAGCATATCAATTAACAACCATTAACCCGATACTCCAATATCAGTCAGAGGACCGAAGGCCATAGGGCTGTTATTGGTCGAGGGTTGATATGGGGTGTGATACATAAATAAATATTATTATAACAGTAACTTGATCCGAAGAGCCGTATCACGTCAAGCTGACAGGCGCGGATCATCAGATCAAACGAGACGCGAAGCGTCGAGTTTGATCTGATGATCCGCGCCTGTCAACGAGACGTGATACGGCTCTTCGGATCAAGTTACTGTTATAATGATAAATTTATTATATACCCCTTTACAACTAGCAAAATATAATAAAAGGAAACTTTTTGGATCAATAACGTAACTTTTATCCATTAAAAAAACCAGTTTGTTATGAAACTTTTTGATGCGCGATAATAAAAACGTCATTTATCTGTGTACTACATTATCAGTTTCAGAGAGGGGTGATATGGATTCAGAAAACCACAGTATGGTGATCCGGAATGTCGGATCACACCGTCACGTGATTGCATAAATTCAACAGTAAACTGAGTGACAAACAGTTGGGTATATAATAAATGTAAGTCATTATACTCCAAATTAAAGGGCCTTACGATGCGAAAAAAGGATTTATTATGCTTTTCAAAAGGCACAATAACGCATTTTTATTTTTGCATTTTAACTCTTTTGAAAAAAGGTATTATCAAAATAACCTATTGTCAGCAACTATTTCGCTTTTTATAACAGTAATAACACTTCCATGTTACATGTATTACGAAAGGGTGTAATAACTTTTTTTTTCTAATTTGCTTTAATACGCCTTTAGATAACACCTTTTCTCTTTGCATTCTAACATATTTTGAAACGCTTCATTGTGCCTTTTGATTTGCATCATTACGCCTTTATCTGCTTACTTCAAATTATTACATATGCATTTTTAAAACACCTTTTCTGTTTGCATTATTAAGCCTATAGAAAAGTATACTAACATTTTTTCTCTATATAACGCCTATTTTTTCGTGTTATAAAGCACTTTAATTTACGTTACGCCTTCTAACTTGGAATTAAATGAAGCCTCTTTTGAAAGGTTTACCTAATGACGTCTTTTCACTTTGCGTTATTACGTCTTTTGAAAGGCTTTATATGTGTTTTTTTTTTCTCCCGTATTTTGATCCTTACAGGCTTTCGTAATAGATCACCAAGGCATAACCATGAACAAGTTTGAATCCATTACAAAACTAAGTACTATGAATGATTTGTGTAGAAAACCTTTTGTTGACCCTAATATTTTTTTAACCAAATCTTTAATTTGGTACCGATTCTATCAATACACAGACCTCGATCCATATATCTTTTATCCCTAAAGATTGACTTGAACTCAAACTCTGTAAACAAATTTAAATCTTGGTTCTATTTTTACTATCCTTATTGAATTTATGCTGAGTAGATCAAATGCCCTTTTTAAAAATAGCCATTTATAATAATACAATGTTTGAACTTGTGGGCAATTCAATAGATATAACATCTTTGTAAATAAAGCAGAATTAATTCGGTCAATTTCTTTACAAATCTTGGCCATAAATATATGCATAGACACAAGATCTTTGGCAATATGCCTAGTTAGAATGGAGGTGCAAACTCCAGAGAGATGCATCAATAACAACTCTTCAATTTGTTATATCATGAACAAAGTGGATATATTATTTGACAAAATAAGCCTCTCTGTTAAACAATAAATATATGAAAATTAAGGCTTTAATTAATTGAAAATAATACCCTACGTTAAGATTAAGAAATTTATGTCCAGAATTTTGGGCAGAAAAGTAAGGATAATGTGGTTATAATTATTTTACTTAATTGGTTCAGGTACATTACATGCTTGTTCGATAAATAATTAGCTATTTCTGAGTGGCGCTCCTGTATCATTATTTATAAATGTATATTGCGTAAACACGTGTATTGTTAATGAAATGACTAATGTATATCGTGATTAGATTCTCTCATCCCTAAAAAAAAAAAACACTACTCTTTTTTTTTCTATACATGTCGTATAATTGTTATATAAATAATAATTTGTAGAAAAATATTAAAAGTATTTAAATGTTGTTACATTTTGCAGAATTTAATTTAATACTCCATTTCATTATGATTTTAATCTTAATCAACACAGTGTTCAAAATATTACTCGCAACTGCAAAAATAAATGTGATATAAAGTAGATTAGTTGCAAATTTTTCTTAATCACAAAAATTAAAAGATACTGAATTCTGTAGAATAGTGCCAGGCATCCCAACTTTAAGTCTAAATAGACAAATTAAAAAAAAGAAAACTTTATAATCTAATAGATACAAAAATTATTTTCTACCCAATGGGGATTTCTCAAAAACAAATGAGTCATAACAGATAGCGCTGAAAGTCCCCTTCACCCTAGCTGTCTAGGTCGTGTTTACTTTAATAGGTTCAAGATAACTGGAAAAACTGATAACCTATTCTCTCTTCTCAAATGTCTGTCAAGGACCCAATTGTTATGAATTACTGCCGACTTAACTTTGATCTCTCTGAACGAGTGCCAAAAATGGAAAGAAAAGAAAGAAAAATGTGAAAAGTCCATGATGTATACTACTACTTTGGTTCCTAGATAAATTTTCTCGAGTACACTGTAATTCAATGCATGATTATTTTCCTTTCATATTTTCTTTCGGTATCAGATTTTTAAAAAGGAAAATTAATTCATTATTGACATAAATTCAATCTTATCCCACGTTAAACTAACATTCCAGGAATTTAAGGTGCACAGTAATACACCTATAAATATACATTTTCGTTTACTAATTAACATTTTTTTTATTAAATTAAAAACTGGTAAGTACATGACTAGAAAGCTTAAGAAAATGACATTGAAAATTGAGAGATTAAAAAAAATCGCCATCAAACATACAAATTCAATATTGTTAAAAGAATGTTGCTATGCCATGAAAACATTTTTCTTAGTGATGCAATACCGTAGCTATGTAATTTATTTGCGATCATTGGCTCCCATCCAGGTGCTCTGATCTCCGCCCCATTTTACCAAGACACACAAAATCTACTGCATTTATTTACTGTCATTATAATTGACCAAGCATCAAGGCTAGCGACTTGATTAAATTTTCAACGCTTACTGAATTCAACACCTGCAAAACCACATTGAATTGATATCTTCTCTAGCAAGGTAAGATCTATGTTAAATTACATCACCTTTTTCTCTTAACTCTGTTCATTACATTAGGTTGGGAACTATTATAATAATGCAATCATAATTTAAAGATTAAAAATTATATTTCAATAATATATGGACATATTCTGAACTCCACGAATTTGATGCAGTTTCTATGATAGATGTACTTTAAAGTGCTTTATTTACTGGACTGTACTAAATAATAATAATTAATAATTAAAAACCGACTTTGTACAGATGAGTAATATTCTGCAAGTCGGTGAACAAATAATATAGGTCTATCTCAGCCAAAGACTCTTGGGATATATCATTGTTTTCCTACTTTCTTCGATGATCGTCATGCTTTGGTTTTCTGACGACCATCACACGCAGTCATAATTAATTAGCCAGGCACGATCACCACACTATCGTATAAATATACCACAAAACAAATAATAATTCTCATTCTCTCTTTGTCGGCTTCTTATAAAGCATGTAAGTAGTGATAAAGTAATAAAATGGGATTTTATTGGATTTATTCTTACTCCCACGGTAAACATTTGAGGCTAATTTTATTTAATTGTACAGTTCTTTGAATTTCACTTGTATACTAGTACTTATAAAAGTTTTTTATTTCTTAGAATTGAGGTTTCCAACATGCTGCTTAACCAGGAGGGTAACAAATTCACCGAGAAAGAACTATCCTGTGATTGGATATTAAGCTCCCTTCCCATGGTGACCACTTTAATCAGTGGTCGCCATGTCATCATCGACTACATGTCTGACCAGCAGCTTACAGAAACCTACTTTATGATTCAAGAAGCCGCACAAAATGGAGACGGATACGGCATCGACGAGTTCGACTCCGAAAAGGACTTCCGCCGGGAAATCGAAGGAAGTGACTGCTTTGCCGTGATATGCAAGGAAAATGGCGAACTGTTAGCTGGTTTCATTTTGGCAGAGAGCAAGTTCTATCGCGGTGTCAATGGGGTAGTTGATCCATTTATTATTGTCAAACGCTCAGAAAGAAATCAGAAACTGGGAGAATTCTGTATGAGAAAGGCCATAAACTTTTCAAAGAAACTTGGATATATGGGCATGTATGTGGACACATTTTCTAACAATATAGCCGTGCTCAGAATCATTGAGAAGATTGGAGAGTTTCAGAAAGTGGGCTTTCTTCCACTCGGTGGGAGGCTACATAATGGACAGTTCGTGGGATCAGTGATCTACTATCGGGATTTACAGATCAATCCGTCAGATGACACGTGAATATTTTATGAATTCTATTATGGACGATCTAATATCCAATTAGGTCAACACCTTTTGAAATCATTTGTCAGGACCAGTTTTACTTGGTGGTCATATCAAAGTTGCAGCGACAATTAGCAAGGAATTTTCCAGTTGGATTCCTATTGCAGTGGTGGGTCCTTGAGCAACTAAGAGAATCAATGGTCTAAAGGACCCTCAACATTCCATGTAACAGCAAAACATTCCTGCCTTTACAATACTGTGATAAAGTCAGTTATGTAAATTTTAACTTTAATCAATGACATTAAATATATTTTTACAATTATCTTCAAAATATACAAATACATGACTAATTAATGTGTTTTGTTGTACTTGTACCAGCATAGAATCTTATATAAATTTTTGTCTGGAATTGGAATCTGCTAATCAACTTATGTTGTCTAGAAAGTTTGGAGGAAAAAGAAGATCCAATTATATCTCTGAGAAAAATACCAGTATATTATTTTCAGATAATCTGATTTTTAAAAAAAAATTATCTCTGAAGAAGTAGGAAGTATGCACAGGAACCGTGATCAATCTTCAAGTTTTTTTTATATAATCAAATTGTGAAATGTCAAGAGAGGCCTTGTGTTAAAAATAGAGGATAAACTCTGAACTCTTGCTCCAGAAAACGCATCACGTTAAGTATTTTTAATGACAGAGGGAGTCTGAACGCAAACATTTCTTACTTTTGTGAATCTTTCATAATGTTTCAACATCCGACATATTTCTCTTTCTTTCGTCCCAAACATGCACACGAATCAAGATAGCATCTCCAGGCAGATTATAGTGTTTTATGGCATGAGCTCTTGACAAATTATCATGCAACATTGTCAATCTTCAGCCGTTCCTACAGCAGTAGTGGTTCACATTATAACAATGTTTGTACTAACTAGTGTTGATTTACCTAGAGTTCTCAAACCTTGTCCAACTGACGCGGTTTAATGTATCACTAAGAAATATGGCAAGTGTCCATCCAGAAATGAGTGGTGTGGGTTTCAATGACAAATATCAGAACATGAGATAGTCAACAAAAGCTACTCTGAATCTGTAGTTCTACAGCTCCATGAATGGAACGGTGTAGTCTCTCTAAATTCTTTCCTTTAAAAATGTATAATTAACTTTTAATGATCTTTCCCACTATTCAATATATACATGTAAAATGATTTGTAAAAATGATATGTCCTATGAGCACCTTGCCAGTGTAACTCAATCCCCTATTTAGAAGTTGGTGACTTATTAATACTCACCCCTAAGGGGGAATAATAACAAGCCCACTCCGAAAGTTAATGAAATACCACATAATGCAATAATTTTCAAACCCTACTCTCTTTTCGAGTTTATCTTGCAAAAAGAGAGAGAGAGCTATAATCGGAATTAAATTGTCATTTGAAGCTATTGTTATGTTTGTTTTAATTAAGAGACGTATACTTTAACACTAACCAGCTTGTATCTATCGTAGATAAAATATTTAATGTCTTGAGACAATCTGAATACGTCCCACACAACCAGAAGAAATGAACTGATAAGCCTACTGCGCCAAATCAATAGCAACGCAAACCTTTTAAGTGTGCAAAGCAACAATCTAGAAATATTTAACTCGAAAAAATATTTGACTAGAAATATTTAATATTTAAGTATTTAACTTGCTAAATTTTTTAAAATATATACCTTTCTTATTGAAGTGTATTTATATTGAGATTTTTTCCTCTTTCTTTTAAAATATATTAAACAAGTTAGCTTCCATTTACGGAATTGGATGACTGTGAATTAGAAAGTGCGAGCGATTGGATAGAGAAACATTTTTACAATATCGTATGTTTCTACTCACATGAAAAAATAAATTTTCAAAAAGCATACGTTATCGAATTGCTGTTGAAGGAGAACAGCATAATGAAATGAATTTTACTGAGCGCTGAAGGTTAAGAAAAAAAGGTACGCTAATTTACACACACTCACACTACTTATTATATTATATTATATTATATTATATTATATTATATTATATTATATTATATTATATTATATTATATTATATTATATCATTTTTATTATATCATTTTATATTATATAAATTGTATTAATTATATTTATTATTAAACCTCTACTGTTATTACTCTATATAAAATGAATACTATAAAACTATTTCCCTGAGAAGGCACTATTTCCGCCATGATGGTGCCATCTGAGGACTACTCCCTGTAAAATCACTACCCACTACTCCCTGGAAATACTTCCTCATTAATATTCATTTATATTTTTAACCAATCAAAATGCTTTGTGGGCGGAGGGTTTGAGGAAACTTGAGACTGTGATGTAATATTATTAAAAATATAACTATTACGTCAAAACATTTCGACATGCGATGTCAGAATCATACTGGAATTATCGCAGAATGTTTGAGTATCTGGTTTAATAAATTTCCATAGATTGTTTCGGTACAATAAAACAGTTATGGAATGGGTACTAGGCTGGAAATAGCAAATTTATGGTTCCTCGAGGGAGAAAACTATTTCCCTAAGTCGCCTAGGGAAATAGTTTTCTCCCTCGGGGAACCATAAATTTGCTATTTCCAGCCTAGTACCCATTCCATAACTGTATACTATCTTTTTTTACAGTGAAAGTAACCTTAAAATCCCCGGATGAAGTTGCATGTTCTAAAAATAAATTTAATAGATTTTTCAATTTTGGATATGTTTGACAGATTCCATCATTAAACGGTTATTTTTGATTGAATAAACCAATCAGATTTTGTTTTTCACTAACAATTCTTTGTGTTCTAACATTCTATCTGGAAGTTAAATGTTTAATTAAATTGAGGATATGAAGATCATTTTCTCGTTTTATTTATACTACATAGGCTTCCCTTCTTTTATAAATATGAAAGTTTGAATATTCACTTCTGCTACATTACACACACTCCTTCTGCCAGCATGGATATTTGTCGATTTGATGAATGTTTCTATCTTGCAAGTTGGATGCCTATTCTAAATAAATTCAAATAAGGTGCAGTTATAAACCATCGTGACTTTCATCAAAACGCTGAAAACGCTGTTTCCTATGGTTTGCAGAGACCAAAAATTATCTAATTATCTAACTTAGTATATACACTTTAAATTTAGCGCAACTTTCCTCATCAACTGAGTTGCGTAACCAAAAATATCACATTTGGAGGCAAGTCTCTATAATTTTGTTTTTGTGAAGGAAAAATGAAGATAACGAACATTTATCAAGTTTAAAAGTCCATTGAAACAATAGTCCATCCACACTTTGCAAGTTATTTCCCTTTGCAGGGTCAACCAAAAGGTCAATAGAGAAAAACCCAATGTTTCCCTTTTTTACAATACCGAACATTAGGGCCTGCTGCAACAAATATATTGCTTTTTATTCTTTCAATGTATGGGTAACCCCACCTAGCAATCAAAATACAAGATATAACGGTTATTTGACTTGAACGTTACAAAGGCCACAGTGGATTTCCCCGAAGAGGGCGGCCAAGGGACATAACTTTTAAATTTGGATACAACGTTGCAAATTTGGAGCAGAGCAAACATGGATCGACCTCTGAAAACATCAGAAATGGGATCAGGTGTCATGGAGGAGTAAGCATCCCCTGTCGAACAGTCACACCCGACGTGTGTTCCTAGTCGTGATCGGGCAAACGGAAAAATCCACAGACAATTCAGTGTAAAATAATGGCCCAACAATTTGTATGAAAAAAGTCAGTCAATATTTAGTCCAGTCAATTTAGTCCTAAAACACCCTAACCTTAAACAAATTGCAACAGAAATTATTCCAGTAGAATTTTGTTATTTATAATGTGCCTTTTGATATATCAAAACTCTAGAAAAATATATTTGTCCAAACATCACTTTTTTCAGTTTTCAAAAAACCCGATTTTTGTTCAAAAATGCCGATAAATCACTGTTTAAAAAGACACTCTATATATGCATAAAAATAGTTTTGCCATCTATATGATCTTGAATTTTCTTGATAGGTCATGCAGAAATGAATCCTGCACACTGAAACTGGTAATTATTTCATTAATTGTTATGAATTCCTGTTTCCATGGCAACGGACATAATTGAAAAATAAAACTATTCCAATTCCTCAGTATGGCTTTGTGTAGGGATAAAGAATATGTAGCCATAGTAAGAATGACAAGTTTTATTAGTTAAAATAATTTTTTTTTAAATTATATATAGGGGACAATTAAGCACTCATCCCAGGAATTTTTATCAGGGGTGGGGGGTGGAGGGGGAGGGTTCATATTAAATATCACAGATGTCAAGTCTCGGAAGTTTTCTGACAAGCAAATATAAATAAATAAATAAACAAATAAGTAAAAGGAAATGAAAATAAATAAAATTAATTGCCTCAAACTTAAAAACCTTTTCAGAGGAGAAGGGAGGGAGGGGGGTCTCTTTTCATAATGCACACGACTTCTTGCCTTTTAAATAAGTGTCCCGGGGAATGGGTTCATAATGCACATGACTTGTTGCCATTTTAATAAGTGTCCTGGGGAAATGGGTTCATAGACATGTTTTTGTTACTTTTACATATAACCTTTTAACTCTTGAAAATCTCAGGGGGAGGGGGTCAGTCCCCCCCTTCCCGACAAATCTCCCTTTAAAGCAATGCATGCTTAGGACAATCATCTGAAATACGTCATATCTATGGATACGTATCACTTGAACGAAATCTTAAAAGTCAGTTTTCCCCATTGCTTTTATCTGAAAGGTTAATTAAAAGATATAATAAAAAGTAATATCGTAAAAATCCATTGAAGGTGCCACAGAATATCTAAAAAATAAATGAATGATAATCTTGAAACTGGAACTGGTTCTTCACCTAAATGTCAACCTCAATAGTATATATTCAAATTGCTTCTTTTTGTATTCAATATAATGTTCATTGATAGTTTTTATATCTCCTTTGGATTTATTTTGTAATTTGTGTGTGTGTTTCGGGGGGGAGGGGGGGGGGGTATCACATCATTTAAGCTCTCGGCACTTTGAAGTAAACGTTGCAGGTCTTTAGGATGAGACTTTAAAAACCCCATTAAAGGCCCCATATCATGGTACATGTAGGCATTGGCATGATAAAGAACCCTCACTGCTCAATAGCCCTAAGCGCCGTGTAAAGGTCTAAATTTCAAGCACTTTGCCGATATAATTATGGTGACGTTTCTATATAAGTGAAAAGTTCTTGAACCGGGCGTAAAACAACATACAATCAACCAATCTTCACAAGCACTGCTTATAGAGGCTTAGATCTAGAGTCATTTTTATGACAATTAAATTACCTATCTGAT